CGAGTACCAGGAAAAAAATATCGGACTCGTACTCGATCCTTAAAAAGTGGTATCGGTGCATCCCTACCAAGCAATCACATAATGCTTACCTATTATTCCTAGTTGAATCAGAGAAAATGTAATAGTATAAAACTTGAAGAGTCTGTAGGTTATTTGTAGAGGTTGCATAGTATTTACAGTCATTACTGTATGTTCCTGTGGATATTGTGCGAATGATGGGTGGTGATATGGCGATATGTTTTGCCCTAAATTATTACATGATTAACTAAATGTGTTTTTTTACAATGTACATTTCTGAAATGCACTTTCTGTAAAGCTGCTTTGAAAAAATATGTATTGTGAAATGCGCTATAGAAATAAATTTGAATTGAATTGAAGTACAGACATCTAATGGATTTAGCAGCAGTCAGAATCCTTCTTCTCGTGCATGGGAACCAGTCTCTGAAGGCACACATATGGTATTGGGCTTACAACAACTGGTCCATTAAGATGATGCCGGCCTGCATATGTTTTTGAATTTTGAATAAGACCAGGACATGCCTGCCCAGAGACAAGCCTCCAGAGAGCTTTATAGATTACATGGAATGGCTCATTCTCCCCAACGGTTCACCATTTACAATCTACAAGAGCAAGGAGGAAATCAGCACGCTATCCCCAGCCACCAGCTCAGCCCTGGATTCTCCCAGCGTGAGTCCAGGTGTGTTAGCTGGCTACATCACTCATGCACATGAATATACTGGTGGAGTTTGAGGGGATGTCATAGAGCTCCAATCCCTCACCCAGAATTACTGATTGTCATGGAAAGTAAGCGCATCTTGTCTCTTGTCTCTGTTCCCTGCATCGAGCCAGTCACTGCTAACAGCATCAATTTTCCTGAGTTTGTGTTCCTGCCCAGCCTCCCTATCCCACCTCCTCTGGTTTCATGTCTGCCTGTTCTGTGTTGGCCAAGAGAGCTGTCCATAAGTTTTCTGCCTGTGTCCTCTTCTCTTGCCAGTCTGTTCACCCCCACCTGTATAGTCCAGTCCTCCAGCCCTGGCTGCACTACATTTCCTCTACCCTTCGGCTCCCTTTCTGGTAATCATTGGGTCACCTTGGTCAGAGCATTTGCCAGCTCAGCCCATGATGATTGACCCAGTAGCTCAACCTAGGACCTACGTGACAGCCACTCCTCCTGTTTGGCTCCACCATGGCTCCTCCCTCCTTCGTCTCTATCTGATTCCGTCCTCCTCTTGGCACCACCTTGGTCAGTCGTTGCACTGCCTGCGCCACAGACTTTCAGTCCTTTATCTTCCCTCATCCCTCCAACCCATGGCTCTGTCGGCCCTTGCCTTCCCTCTGGCATCGCCTTGGTCCTTGGTCACACCGCCTTCGCCTCAGTCGTCCAACACCCCGACTTCACCTCGGACATCTCATCATTCCAGCTCTGCCTTGCCCAGTGATTGACCAAGTAGCTCCACCTAGGACCTACGTGCTCGTCACTCCTCATATTCGGCTCCACAATGGCTCCTCCATCCCTCGTCCCCACGTGGAACCTTCGTCCTATTGGCTCCACCTTGGTCAGCCGTTGCACTGCCTGCACCACAGATGTCCAGTTTCGCCTCAGTCCTCCAACACTACAACTCCACCTCGGACACCTCATCAGATCATCCTTCAGGACCAGCATCGTTGCTTGGCCCCTGGAGTCCTGTGGCTCCACCTGGGTTTCCACTGACAGCTGAATCTTGGTCAGTTGTCTCCCTGGGTCCAACAGACATGCCTTTTCAATGGCTCCTTTCTCCCTTGTCTCCGCAGTGGGATCTGAGTCATGGCCCTTCAGCTGGGTGTTCCAACCTGGCTGCTCCTGCCTTCTCCGCTGACTGTCCTAGTTGCCTACTCTTCTTCACTCGCCTCCAAAACCTCCTCCCACCCTCTACTC